TGACTGGCAATGTAGCAAAAATGGTCATCATTTTCTAATGTTACACCATTAAGCTGTATTTCTAGTACTGTAGCAGGATTGGCTAGTGACTGCTGGAAGAGCACTTCGGTTTTCACAATGTTCAAGGAGAGGCCGAGCTTCTCATATGCTTCTGCAAAGGTGTTTAGAGTGTTTTTAGGTCATGTTTTGAATGCACACAAATTCCGTTATCATCGGCATATTTGAGTTTTATAAGAAATGTTGTAACCTGGTTTTGGCTTTCAGTCTGCTGAGGTTAAATAGCTTGCAAAAATTGACTTTGCAAAGGCATTTGACACAGTGAATCACAGTGCTCTCTCAACCATCCTCCAAAAAATCGGATGACCTGACAAATTTGTGAACATCTTGTGGCTCCTCCATGATGACATGATGGCAACAGTCTTGAACAGCAATGGCTCCCAAAGCAACCCATTTAAGGTGGAATCAGGGGTCAAACATGGATGTGTTATTGCCCCAACCTTTTTTTCCATCTTCAGCGCTATGATACTTCATCTTGTTGACGGGAAGCTTCCCATTAGAGTGAAAATCATTTATTAGTGTATGGCACTATGCGTAGGATGTCACATTGGCATGGAACTTCAATCAGCATTGTTAGGGCAGCAATGCCATGATCATGCCTTCCATCAACAATATGTAGAATAGTGGTGAGATACTTCTCTGTATTGTGTAGCACAAGCAGTTTTGCCTGCTGTTGTAACTACGCATATAATTAATGTAGAGGAATGTGTGTCTTGCCAGAGATTGTTGAACTCCATCGCCAGTTACCAGTCAACACAGCCAATGGGTCAGTGATGATGAGAATGGGAATCCAATAACATTTAAAAATCCATTGGTTGCCTGCTCTTGATTTAAAGCAGTGGATCATAGTCTATGGGTCTCCATATGTTGTTAGACTACAGTTTCCAATGTTTCTTGCCATTTCTCATATATAGGTTAGACTTTCTGGAAGCTGAAATCCAACCACATCAGAGGCCCACAGGTTGCCAACCTTTGAAACAGAGGACAAAAAGGCAGCCTATAATCCTACATTACCATGTGGACATGTTTGATCTTGTGACATACACATGCACACACAGAGAGATGTACACACATACTGTTCTTTCTCCAAGAACTTCCAGAAATATTGACTCTGCAAAGTTAGACTGAGAACTAATGAGCTTCAGAGGCAGTAAAACGTAAGCCATTTTCATAGTATTAATTGGATTTTTTATGTAGTAAACATGATCTAGGATTAGAATTCAAGTACATTGTGCAGTGAGTTATCTAGAAAAATAAGCACAGATTTGGACTGACCTGTTTTCCCGTACAGCTTGCCATGCGGTTGAAAACAGTGTCACTTCAGGGCAATTAGTGCTGGGAAGGTTGTTTTGCCTTCCTGCTAAGAAGACTAAAGTGCATTTCTTTTCTCTCTCACTCTTGACCAGTGTTGCTTGTATACACAACATTGTGAACAAAGTAGCCAGAGTCAGAAATCCAGTTATAACACAAGGTGTGTGCTTTGTTTTAAGAACTTGCTTCCATCTTATCGGATCAACCGTTTATTAAGTTATTCAAGGCCATGGCTTTTGGCAGTTGCTTTTGCATTTGGAGTAACTTTCTGTTTTTGCATGGCTTTTGGCTACAGAACTAATCAGGTGAGTTATACAAGTTCCTTGAGATGCAGACAAAATCCTGCAAGAACCCTGAAAATAAATGTCAAAATGACCTCTTTGTTAATCTAAAGCAGTGTTTCTCAACCTTCCTAACGCCACAACCCCTTAATACAGTTCCTCATGTTGTGGTGACCCCCAACCATAACATTATTTTTGTTGCTACTTCATAACTGTAATTTTGCTACTGTTATGAATTATGATGTAAATATCTGATATGCAGGGTGTATTTTAATTCAGTGGACCAAATTTGGCACAAATATCAGATACGTCCAAATTTGAATACTGGCGGGGTTAGGGGGATTGATTTTTGTCATTTGGGAGTTGTAGTTGCTAGGATTTATAGTTCACTTATAATCAAAGAGCATTCTGAAATCCACCAATGATGGAATAGAACCAAACTTGGCACACAGAACTCCCATAACCAACCGAAAATACTGGAATTGTTTGGTGGGAATGGTCCTTGAGTTTTGGAGTTGTAGTTCACTTACATCCAGAGAGCACTGTGGACTCAAACAATGATAGAACTGGACCAAACTTGGCATGAATACTCAATATGCCCAAATGTGGACACTGGTGGAATTTGGAGAAAATAGACCTTGATATTTGGGAGTTGTAGTTGCTGGGATTTATAGTTCGCTAAAAATCTGAGATCATTCTGAACCCCACCAATGATAAAATTGGGCCAAACTTCCCACACAGAACCACCATGACCAACAGAAAATACTGTGTTTTCTGATTGTCTTTGGCGACCCCTCTGACACCCCCTCATGAACCCCCAGGGGTCCCAACCCCCAGGTTGAGAGACGCTGATCTAAAGAGTTGGCAAAATCATGTTATGCTATCTAAAGCACAAAGCATGGCTGGTCTAATGCATCTGGCCCAGTTTTGAGCAACTGTCCAGTCCCAGTACCTCTGCTTTCAAGAACAGCTTGCAAATGATTTTGAACTTCAGCATTTCTCATTTTAGAATGTAACCCTTGGCATAAAGCTCTGCACAAAAATGTGTCTCACTAATAGTTGATTACAGTATAGCTTAAGAACGTGTGTTGATAATCAACAGGGATTTTGTGACAGCCAAGTTATTTCACTGATGTAAATACCTCCTGTTGCCATCGCATAGTTTCTTCATTTGGTACAGCTTCAGTAAGAAGTATAACAGAATGTGTTGACACAACCAACTTTGGGGCTTTATGTTGTCATGTATATGAAGCCATCGCCTGCTCTTGTTATGTCAACCACAAGACTGATTAAGAAGCTTTGCATAGTTGGTATGTTCAACAGATAAAGCGAAATACCAAATGGTACTATGTGGAATGTAACCTACATGGCTATGCTAGGAGCAGAGTGTTTCGAATGCCATTGTCTGGGCAGCAAACGATTTTTTGTTCAAGATGCAAAAAGCCTTTCAGGACCAAAGTCCAGACAAAGGCATGTGATGCCATAAAGCCTGAGACGTCTGAGGATGGAGCTAAATAAACCAGAAATCAAGATAACTGAATTTACCTACTCCCTAAAGGCATCTAAATAATCCTGTGAATCAACCCTTCTTCCTTTTTTGCCTTTTAAAGAAGTCTTAAATCAGCTACTTGTACAATGTAGGCAATTCTTTGGCTTCACTTTGGATTTGGGTTTTGAATTATGAAACATGAAGCTGAGCACTGTAAGCACAGAGGTAGCATGTTGAAAACACTTTGCCAAGATGAAAGGCAAAAATAATACTCTTGCTAGAAGTGAAATGTCTGCATTTGGCTATTTTTAATCAACTTTTTCTTCCTTTGAAATAAAAATGTTTGGGTTGACTCATTGAATTAGTGCTTGCAGGCAATTGTGGGGTTTAAATGACAGCTTCTATTGTTCCATCATATGGCAGGCAGACAACAAGCCGACAGCTTGAAGCAGATGCAAGCTTTTGGCACTCCGTCTGCATATTTCCAATGCAATCGTGTCTGGTGTTGGAGACTGGAAATCTAGCTGTAGCTAACCAAAAATTAAATCTGGAGCACAAAATGTGGTTTCACAGAATGAAGGTTCTAAGTTGGTAAACAGACATCTTTTTCCCTTCCCTTGGAGGTTTAATCACAGCAACTCAGCATTTGCAAGAATAGTGATGATACCAAAAGGGAGGCATTTGAAAATGTGAACCATTTTTGTAGTTTGCAGCTCTGGTTTTAGAATGTGCAGCTCGCCTCAGGAGCATGTGCCGCGTCTTTTTTTAGCACCCGGCAAAGACCACCTACTAGAAGAGAGCTCATTAAACATGCAGATCCTCAGTCTTGCAAGCTGTTGCGATAAGCAGCTGTTGCAAGGAGGTGGGTGAAAGGTCAGATCATTTCAAATGGAAGCCACAGCCTTTGTTCAAGCCACCATCAGGGACTGAAATATTTTCAGCTAAGGATGCAGGAACTGTGGCCTCTTTCACGCCTTTCCATTTTAAGAGATTTGATCATGACCTCCCAATGAACCATTTCAGTTTGCTTTCAAAAACCATAACTTATATAAAGCACAGAAATGCTTTTCTGCGCTCCATGAGTTGTGTCTCAATCATGAAGTGTTTCAGTAGGATATCACATGATAGAGATAAGAGATACAGGGTTGTTTTTTAAATGTGCAAGGCAACTTTAGGGACACAAGTTTCCAACAAAGCAAGTGTGCTGAATCTCACTGTACTCAAAACACTCCTAATTATGGCTAGATGTACATTGCATGTGGAACTGCATTATATGGTCAGTATAGAACTATATGGTGCCCCCGCTGGCACAGCAGGTGAAAGCACCAAGCTGCTGAAATTGCTGACCAAAAGGTCAGCAGTTTGAATTCATAGAGTGGGGTGAGCTCCTGATGTTAGCCCCAACTTCTGCCAATCTAGCAGTTTGAAAACATGCAAATGTGAGTATATCAATAGGTAACACTCCAGCAGGAAGGTAATGGCACTCCATGTAGTCATGCCAACCACATGACTTTGGAGGTGTCTATGGACAACGCTGGCTCTTTGGCTTACAAGTGGAGATGAGCACCACCACTCGAGTCAGACACAACTAGACTTTAATGTCAAGGAGAAACCTTTACCTTATAGACACATATAATGCTGTTTGATGTAGTTAAAACTGCATTATATGGGTCTATATATTGACCACAAAATCAGGTTCCAAGCTGCATTGTATGGCAAATGTAAACCCCATCAAAGTACAAAATTGTGGCTCGTGGGTTGCTTCCCTTCAACACGCCTTTGCCTCATGTTATTTGTATTGCTGATTCCCTATTTCTGGATTCTTTCCCCATCTCACAAGCAAGACCATCACCACATACAAGTTAGTTGTCAAAATTTATTATAAAAATGTATAAGATCTTCAATAGCAGCAAGAATTTCAAATAAAAAGAATTATTGCAAAATCAGTGATCAAGGCAGACTACAGTCCAAAGGCCTCCAATATAGATCAGTCTGCATCACAGTCTTTGTAGAAATACAAGGATACCAAAGTCTTGTAAAGCTTCCAGTCTCCTGGGGACTATGAATCTCCCCCATCAACCTTTCCATGTCCATATCTTCCCATAACATCTGTGTCCAGTTTTCCAACTTTCTCCATTGCTTTCGTAACATAAGTGTTCCACCTGACCTAGAAACCTGCAACTGTCTTTTCTTTCTTCCATTCCTTTAAGTCAGAAAAAATTGCAGTTCTTCTTCAGCTCCACTGACACACCAGCTTCTCCAGGGCTGCAGCACTGTGGGGGGGACGCCAGGCACCCGCCACTCCCCTTCCTCCATCGCTTCTCCTTTCTCCACAAGAGCCCACCGCGTGCTGTTCTGAACGCCTTAATCCAAGCTGTTGACCAGGCTAATCTCCAGAAATCAGCCACTCGCTGGGTTGCCGAGATGTGCAACTCCCTGGATGAGTAATGCAACAAAAGGTTTCAACCTCTCCTCATGCATTAGGATTGCTTCTGCATCATCACCATCACTCAGGCAGGGTGATATTGGGCACCCAGTCGTTGACATTTCGACTCTCCTCACAAAACAAGTTCAGCTTGTCCAAGGAAGGGTCCTTCCAGGCATCCTCACTGGGGTTCTATAACAAACAGGAGAGACAAAGAATTCATGAGTAAAGGCTTCCTATTCATCCAAAAGCACATCGTACTACAGACGTTCTAAAAAATCTCTAAATTACTTTTTTGTGTCAGGAGCGACTTGAGAAACTGCAAGTTGCTTCTGGTGTGAGAGAATTGGCTGTCTGCAAGGACATTGCCCAGGGAATGCCCAGATGTTTTCCCATCCTGTGGAAGGCTTATCTCATGTCACTGCATGAGAAGCTGGAGCTGACAGAGGGAGCTCATCTGCACTCACCCCAGATTCGTCCTGCCAGCACAAGGGTTTAACCCACTGCACCACTGGGGGCTTCTAGGAACAATGGGATTATACAGCTATGGCATCCCAAAAATAAGGAATACTATTTCTCTATGACAAGTATTGTTTGTTTGTTGATAAAGCCCACCTGCAGCTACCAACATACTTCTGGGACCCAATAGCTTGGGAATGTGCCACTGACAAAAGCACTTAAACTATGTCATCGTGGTTAATTGGTGGCCTCAATTGGCTCCAGCCAAGTCTAGCCTGAGATTGTTTCCACATGTTATTAGTCACACGGTATCAAGTACACTGGAAGCAGGGAGGGAAGGGGGAATTTCACAGGAAATCCCAGATTCTGCCAAGTTCTGCATGAAAGCCAACTACTACGAAGCAGCATGACCTTACTGGGACTTTGTTTTGCAACCGTCTGTGCTCAGTGAGCTCAACTTTCCGGAAAACCCTCCCTTCGGTGGAAAGAGGCGAGACAACGAGACACTTACCGTGACGAGGATGCAATGCAGGTCCCGGGGTTCCCCAGACTCCTCGCTGGCGGCACCCACAATCACTGCCAACTTCTGGATGTCGTTGACTCTCACAATGTCAATGTCATTCTCGCAACAGAATGCCTGGATGAGGGTGAAGTGGATCTGGAGAGCAATGTCTCCCTCGTCCTCCTCGTCAGCAGCAAGCACACAGAAGGCCACAGTATCAGGGTCACTGGAATGAACGAGAAGAAAGAAAAGCCTGGTTATTAGAGGCACACGGCAACCGAGATGGGCTGTTGTGCAAGTGGGAGAGACTAGGGAAAGGAGAACAACAAGGCACCCATGCCTGGATACTCACACATTCATCAGTTTAGCAGATTCGTAGACGCCGGCGGTGAGGCAACCCCGGCGGTGAGAAGAGATCAGGAGCTCCTGAAGAGCTTTGCCAGCACTTTGCATCCTGCTGCTGGTGGAGGCACTGCTAGCGGTGCTAAAAAGGGAGAGAAAAGGGAGGGGAGATCAATTCCTGCTCCATTCCCACACTTCGATAGATCTCTTTCCAAACCCAACCCTGGCTAAAGACTCTTGCTATCCCTAAACATAAATACAAGTCCAAGGGTTCCATAGTAGAAAGTTAAAGTGGTGCCAAACTGCATTAAACCTACAGTGTTGATGCACTCCTGTTTAGTGTGTTTCAATAGATCTCAATAGATCACCCAACCTGGCTAAAGACTTGTTATTCCTAAACATAACTACAAATCCCACAATTCCATAGTATGGCGTTAAAGTGGTGCCAAATTACATTAAACCTACACTGTAGATGCATTCCTGTATTTAGTGTAACCAAAGGAGTGCATCTACACTGTAGGTATAATGCAGTTTGGCACCACTTTAACTACAGTGCAGATGCAGTGTAGCAAACTCCATTAAACCTACAGTGTAGACGCACTCCTGTGTTAGTGTAACATGCTAAACACAGGAGTGCATCTACACTGTAGTTTTAATGCAGTTTGGCACCACTTTAACTCCATACTATGGAATCCCGAGACTAGAAGTTCCTCAGTTCCTCTGCTGGTGATTCACCAAAGAGTGCAGAGTGATTCACCCAGCTTAAACTCGTGAGATTGCATAGCATTGAGCCATGGCAGTTCAAGAGGCATTTGATGCCAAAGGAGCCCAGTTCCTCCCAGTTTCGACCCATTAGCCCAGCCAATTCCCAACTCTCCCGGCATGAAATCTCTCCCCTGTCCATCACCAAGGAGTCCCACCTCTCCCTGTTCACTTCTGGTGCCAAACAGCCCCACTGATCGCCTTCAATAGCGAGCTCTCCCTCCCTTATCTAGACAAGCCAAAGTGGAACAGAGATCCTTACCTGTCGCTAGTCTCCGGCATCGCTTCCTGGCTGTGGATTTCCTCCAGAGTCATAATGGTCCAAAAGAGAGGAGGAAAAATGAAAGGAATCAAAAAAACCCACGCGGCTCTTATCCACAAATCTTCCGAGGAAAAGGGGGAAAAAGCAAGTTGCTCAAGCCAAGGAACCCAAAGCCCTTCGATGCGCGCTCTCTCTCTCGGAGTGTCTCTCGCAGTCTTTCTCCTTTAAGTCCTCAGCGACGTCTGAGCGGAAGAGAGAGGCGCCCGCTGTATTTATAGACTGCCCAGCCGAGGCGCCGGCAGCTGCCGGGAAAAGGGCGGCGCTGATTGGCCAACCCTTGGGAGTATTGTGATGCTAATCAGGCGGGGAGCAGGGGGGGAGRCGGCTCGTGCCAGGAGGCCACGTGGTAAGCAGGCAGGCAGGCAGGCGGGCGGGCAGGCGGGGGGAGAGAGACAAGGAGGAGAAAAGGAATCAATGGGAGCAGATGACAATGCTACCAATCTGCCACCGCTGCTTTTGTTGTCATGTTACTAGGCAGGAACTGCAAGCCGGAGCACTTGATCTTTAATATTAAGGGGGGGGAGGGAGGGAGGGGAGGGGGTAGGAATCAAAGGGGGAAATGTCTCCTTGTAGATATGTGCAACTTGTGGCATGCCTTATTATTTTATTATTATTTAAAATATGCAATAATACGCTTTCGTTAGGGAAAAGTTTTTGAAAAATTAAAAAAAGGAAAAACTTTCCCCCCCTAAGGCTTGCTTTTTTCCTTTTGCAAAGATGCTCTGACAGTGGAATATAATGTCTTGAAGTGGAGGGTGCATCTACACCAAGCATGTGACAACTTTGTCCCTTCTGGTGTTTGGGACACCAACTCCCACCATTCCTAACAGCCTCAGGCCCCTTCCTTTTTCCCCCTCAGGGGCGCTTTGATTGTGTATTTCTGCAGGACAGAATGGGACTGGATAGCCCTTTGGGTCTGTTCAAACTCTTGGATTGTGAGTGTGTCTATGCTGTAGTGCATCTATAGCCCCGGTAGGGCCATGGATTAAACCCTTGTGCTGGCTGAACTGTTGACCTGAAGGTTGGAGGTTCGAATCCGCGAGACGGGGTGAGCTCCCGTCTGTCAGCTCCAGCTTCCAATGCGGGGACCTGAGAGAAGCCTCCCACAGGATGGTAACACATCCAGGCATCCTGTGGGCAACATCACTGCAGACGGCCAATTTTCAGAAGCAACTTGCAGTTTCTCAAGTCACTTCTGACATGATAAATAAATAAATAAATAAATGCTGTACAATGAACATTGTTTGACCCCAATTTAGCTGCCTTCTTATGAAATCCTGGGAGTTGTAGTTTGGTACCAGCACCCTTGGGCAGACGTGGCAAATATCTTTGCAAAACTTCACCTTGCAGGAAGCCATACCATTGAGCCATGGCAGCTCAAGTGGTGTCAAGCCGCATTAATTCTGCAGTGGAGAATGGGATGCACCCTTAATGTTTGACTGGGGAGTTGACACATCTCACTAATTTTCCACTATAGTTGTACTCTGAACCATAGCAGTTCAAACTGGTGTCAAGCTGTAGTGTAGATGCACCCTAGGATTCGACAATTGGCCCTGAAAACTGCTTCTGGCATGATCCTGCTCCCCACTTTGCAGCTCAGGGTTCACTCTTCCCCCCCCACCATGTGTGAGGAAGGAGAGATGGGCTTTTCTTTTCTTTTTTGCAACCTCAAGTGTGCCTTGCTGCCCAAAAGGAAAAGAATAGAAGTGTGTGCTGATGATGGGGGGAGTGCATGAAAAGTGAGGTTCCTGCAAAGTTCACCGAAATGGATTGGGTGGGGGTGGGGTGAGGGGGCTGCCTGGAGCAGATTGTGGCCGGCACACGCTCTTCGTTTGCATGTCAATGGCAGGCCCACAATGGCCTGGGTCTGGCGTGTGGCCGTTTGGAAGGCGGACAAAGAGAGGCTTTCTCTTTGGAGCAGCACTCTCCACCTGCCACAGGGCTGAGGGTTGGCTTGGGCCCCAAAAAAGAGGGGAGGAAGGGGGAAGGCAAAAAAGTAGGGGAGGCAACTAAAGGGGAGGCCAATTGCACTGCTCTCCTTTTCTTCCCCCCCCCCCCCTTTTTTTCCATTGTTCATCACCCAATCTGTTCCCTAGCTGATGAATGTCTCCACTTTGGCTGCACAATTCCCCAAGTTGCCATTGAGATTTCAAAGGTCCTCTAAGAGCATAGCGTCACCTCCTGATTCCAAAGGCTCCTTTCTCCTGCCTTCTTCCACATATACATATACCCCATGGGTGCATCTACACTGTGGAATGAACACAGCTTGAAATGCCACACTACATGCTATGGAATTGAGAAGTGCTGGTGGTTCGTCAAACGACATACATCCAGGATACCATAGCTTTGAGCCATAGCAGTTAAAGGGGGTGTCAAAGTGCATTCATTCATCAGTGTAGAGCAGGCATGAGCAAACTTTGGCCCTCCAAGTGTTTTGGACTTCAACTCCCACAATTCCTAACAGTTGGTATTGTGGGAGTTGAAGTCCAAAACATTTGGAGGGCCAAAGTTTGCCCATTTGGAGGGCTAAAGATACACCACAAGCTCCAAAGGCTTAATTCCCTTGCTTTCTTCCACACACACAAACCCATCATCCCCATGATCTTGATCTCTATTTTGCAATACACAGGAGAGGCCAACCACCATCCTGGCCAGGGGGGCATCTATACTAGAAAGGATCTACTTGGAAAACCACAATTTCCATGATTCCATAGCTTTGAACCATGGTAGTTAAAGAGCAGGGTCAAACTGCATTCATTCTACAGTTCAGGTGTACCCTTGCTGATCAGAAGTTTTGAGCCAGGACTCCGTATGATAGTCCAAGGGACACCTAATTTTTAAAAGCGGGGGGGGGGGGGGCACACAATGCAATCCCATGAATGACCCCTTGTCACCATCTAATCATGGTGCTTGCTTGCAGTGGAAGCATAAGGGTTGCCATTATGTGGTGCAAAAGGGTCCTTATAAAAATCTGATGGTGTTTTCCCCCTGGGTGGCAACAGGACTGCAATCCTTGGCAAAGTGAAATTAATGAACCAGACCTTTGGGTTTTTTTTCATTCCCTGTACATCATGTTCTTCAAACATCCCTGTTCTCCCTCTAATACTCTCATTTTTTCCTTCTGTTTTGAACACCTAATTCTGGATAAGTAGCGCCATCTGCCGGAGACGGATGTACATCTTTCCTGTTAGAAGATACATTATTGTGCAGGCAAGGGGTGCATCTACACCAGTGCTTCTCCACCTGTGGGTCCCCAGATGTTTTGGCTTTCAATTCCCAGAAATCCTAACAGCTAGTAAACTGGCTGGGATTTCTGGGAGTTGCAGACCAAAACACCTGGGGACCCACAAGTTGAGAACCACTGATCTACACTGTAGAATTAATACAGTTTGGCATCATTTTAATTGTGTTGGCTCAATACTGTGCAATACTGGGATATGTAGTTTTACAATGCCTTTAACCTTCCCTGCCAAAAAGTGCTGGTGCTTTCCATAGTATTGCGCCATGGCAGTCAAAGCGGTGTCAAACTGCATTAATGTGACAGTGAAGAAGCCAGCCTCATTTTTCCTACAGAGAGAGAAGGCAACTGTGGGCCTTTAATATACACTGCCATTTGGTTCCAGAATCCCCAGGGATGCCAAAATCTGCAGATGCTCAAGTGCATAACAAAATGGTATCACTTATATGAAATGACAAATTCAAGATTACCTTTTTGGGAATTTCAAAATATTTCCAAGCAATGGATGGTGGAATTTGTGAATGTTGAATCCCTGGATATGGAAGGCTAACAATATATTTACTGGCAGAAGATGACAACATTCAAAATAACAACAATAATAGTAATAATACCTTCTTACCCGCCTTTTCTCATCTATGCCATCAGTTCAAAACATGTAACACATAAGTCAGTTAAAACATCATAGAATCATAGAGTTGGAAGAGACCTCGTGGGCCATCTAGTCCAACCCCCTGCCAAGAAGCAGGAAAATGGCATCCAAAGCACCCCTGACAGAAGGAGCCTCCACCACACTCCGGGGCAGAGAGTTCCACTGCTGAACAGCTCTCAGTCAGGAAGTTTTTCCTAATATTCAGATGGATTTTCCTTTCCTGTAGTTTGAAGCCATTGTTTTACATCCTAGTCTCCAGGGAGGCAGAAAAAAAGCTTAAAGAACATATGCAACATGCTAAAACAACCAGTGCCCAATTTAAAGTTCACAATTAAAGTGGTGCCAAACTGGAGTCATTCTACAGTGCAGTTTGACCCTGCTCTTTAACTACCATGGCTCAAAGCTATGGAATCCTGGAAGTTTAAGTTTTACAAGGTCTTTAGCCTTTTCTGACTCACCAAACTACATATCCCAGAATTTCATACCATTGAACCAGTTATAAAAGCCAACCTCAATGCGGAGCATGCGTAAAACTTTGTGAATTTTCCATCCCATAATGTCCACAGACCATTGCCAGCATCAGACAACAGCAAAAGCTCAGATGCACCAGAATGAGCTTGTGGGCTGGGAGCAAACATTCATTTACGTAGACCCTTAAATGACGTTATTTGTCATTATTGAGGTTTGTATCAAGTGACTTAAGGTTTCCTTTCCAAAGAGAGCTGAATTTATCCCCTTTTCTATGGCATTTGTGATGCATCTGACACAGTGGGCTGTAGTTATATTGCCACAAGTTTAAATGTGACTAATAACACAACAATAACAAATGTCTTTGCCTTGAAAGAGCCGCATGACTCTTCCTTGATTTGGTTGCCGCAGATGTAACTTGGGCTGATTGCCTGGAAATGAGAGTGTTCGTGTTTCTTAAGTGGGATCAGATGAAGAGGTGGGATGATAGCCGTTCAGGAAGTTCTCCAAAGCTCAGTACAGGAAACTATTGATGGAGAGCCAATTTGCCTGGATTCAGATCGCTGGGCTGGCACATCTCGGGAAGTGAGCTATCCATTTGATTCTCTTCCGACCTTTCCTTGCTCTGCCACTTTCAAATGACAAATGACAGGAATGAAACTAGGATCTCATACACACTATCCATTACTCACCAAAAGAGAATATATTTTTAGGAGAACTCTTCAGTTGTTCTCCCAAATGAAGGGTGTTTATAAAGCATTCCTCTTCCCCTACCTAGAACCCTCTACATGGAGCTACAATTCCCAT